AATATTAAATCCTTACAATATATGAAATGTCTGATTATTTTGAAATCATGGTCATAATGCATGCATTGTATGTCAATTGTTCACCCTTGTATTATCATCATTATCAAGTTGAGCACCCATACACTTTAATGTTTGTTATGATGATAAAGAAGTAAATGAACCTTATATTGTCAATAGTTAACCACTATATTGTGAAATTCCACTGTATAGTACAAACAAATGTCTACTCTCTTCCATTGCATTGTCACTTTAATGTTAGTCCCTAGTCACATGTTGCTACTTTCTTAAAGCTATTTGTTAAGTCTTTGACATTTAAAGTAAAATGCCAGTTCAATTATAAAAGGTGAATCTATGTAGTCTATTTAGAAATAATCCAAGTGAAATTGTTTTTAATCTTATTACTAGTGTGTATCCCGGGTGATGCCCCGAGTTGCTAGTTTGTGTAATTCTTTAATTTAATATATGCTCGAGAGTTTGTATAGTTGGTGTGTGTAGTGGTTCGGGCGTTGCCTTGGGTGTCACTTTTTTTTTTTTTTTTACAATCATATGTATTTTACATTCTAATCTTGTGTAAAATAAATGAATTATATTACCTCTAATTTACTTAATAAAAGAAAGGAATATATAATATTATGTGAAATTTGAAACATTAATAAAAGTTGGTTGAGATGGTAAATGTATTACCTATATGTATTTCGTATCTTGTTCAAAGCATATTTTATTTTGTTAAATGAAGTGGCTAGCTTACGTGGCGCATATACTTTGGATGGTGACGTGGCATTGTGACATGGCACACATATTTTGAAGAGTACCACGTGGCACCGTTCCTTTAAAAGGAACGCCTTTTAATATAGAGTATAGATTAGTTGTATATATCAATAACTATGAACTCACATTAACTTTTATATATATATATATATATATATATATATATGTGTGTGTGTGTGTGTGTGTGTGTGTGTGTATATATGTATGTGTATATATATGTATATATATATACATATATATATACATATATATATATATACATATATATAGGGTCGGGATCCGGTGAGAACCACCTTCTACGTGAGAACACATCCTATATGTGAGAACCAATCTCAGCCATCAAATTGTATTCAATCCAACGCATGTGATTAATCACATAAAACTCCTAAAATCACACCTAACTGTCATCTCTCTCCACCTAGCTAACTAACTTCTCTCTCCACCACGAGCTTCATCAATGGCGCCTAATCAGTAACGTTGTTTCTCATTGCTTCAAATTGCTTCATCAAAGTAATCATAAGCAAGTTCACACCGACCTTGCTCGCCTTGCGCTATATTACTAATCGTGATTGCAATCGCTGCTACAAATCAAATTCGCCAGGTTATTGAATTGCATGTTAATTGGATGATAATTTTTGATTTTTGGTTTGTTCTGTTCTTATTAATTTGCATATTTAATTGCATCAATCACCAGGTTATTGAATTGCATGTTAATTGCATGATAATTTTTTATTTCTGAGGTTTGTTCTGTTCTCATTGAACTTGCTTGTTTAATTGCATCGATTATGGATTTGATTGAATTTACTTCTTTGAAATTTTTTGAATTAAATCAACAATTTAGGTTTGATTAATTTTATAGAAATTGGAAATTTGCAATCAAATTTAAAACGAGCAAATGAATTGAAAATGAGCAAACCTAAATATTTGTAATAATATAAAAAACATATAATGAGCAAACATAATTAAATTGAGCAAATTCAAAAAAAAATGAGCAAATATAAAAAGGAGCAAAAGAGCAAAATAAGTTGGTAATGGTGGTGGTGGTAGGGTGCAGGGGACAGGGGCGGCGGCGAGGGAGTGAGAGTGAGACAGGTTGTGGTGGTGATATTGGTGGTGGTAAGGTACAGGGACAGGGGCGGAGGAAGGAGAGAGAGTTTGGTGGTGGTGGTGATTGTACAGTGTAAGATAGAGGGTGAGAAATGGGATTCAGGTCATTAACATGAGTTGCAGAAGCAGTGAAAGTGAAAGAGGTAGCTGTAGCTAATGAGCAAATATTTAGTTGCTCCTTTATCAAATGAGCAAGTGGTTTTGCTTCTTAGATTGAGCACTTCTGTGTGCTGTGATAATCTGAAATTACTGTGTGTGTGTGTGTGTGTGTGTGTGTGTGTGTGTGTGTGTGTGTGTAAGTGAGTGTAAGAGTGAATGTGTTAGAGTGTGTGTGTGTCTAAGAATGTATGGTTTTTGTAGGCAAATATGCTATACTGAATGCTATATATGCTAGGTTTTGCAAATCATAGTGAAGGGTAGCATTATCAAGTTTTACTCCTTTTCAAATCATCTAGTTTCTGCTATCAAAGCATTGAGTTCCTTGGTTTTCTTACCTGCACACAAGCCCCACCCCCCTTCTTCTTGGTCTATTTCCTGCACACCAACCACACTCCCTTCTTACACTTCCTTATACAAACCTATTCCCCCCTCCCCCCTCATCTTTCTGTTTGCAATTCTGATTTCTGAATCTGATTTCAGATCTATTTTAGATTCTGAAATTATTTTTTGTGTGTGTGTGTGTGTGTGTGTGTGTGAGTAAGTGTAAGAGTTATGCTGTAAGTAGTAATTAGTATGGTTAAAAACATGATTCAACAACACACATGAGATTTTTAATGAGCTTCCTTAAACTATTTTATGGAATTGTTACTAACCTGTTATTTCTATTATATTTAATGTCAGAAATGATGAGCAACAACGAAGAACTTGACAGTCATTCTAGTACCATCACAAATGTGGCAACTACTCCTACAATAGTAGTTTCTCCTAAAGTAGCACCTTTGCTCACTCCTGGAGGAACAAAAGAATGGCTTCCAATATGCCCCAATGAGTTGAAATAAGCTATAGGGATGAAGTTTAATAATCTTGAAGAGGGCCTTGAATTTTATAAAAGATACGCATTTGCTGCTGGATTCAACACAAGAAAGTCTAACACTAAAAGGCAAAGAAGAAGCAAAGAATTGAAATCACAGTATATCTTATGCAATAAAGAAGGATACAAAGAGAAAAGAAAGCCTACTGTTGAAAAAGATTTAAATAACAACGAAGGAGAAAGCAATGAAGAAAAAACTTCAATCAAAAGGAAGAGACTCGTTACTCGTGTTGGGTGCAAGGCACATATTGTCATAAAGCATTGTGATGATAACAAATTCATAGTGTCACAATTTCATGAGGGACATACTCATCCACTTTATACACCTAGTTGCAATCTCTTCCAAAAAGAAGGAAGAAAAATGAACATATTGCACAAAAAAATAATTGTGAATAATTCTAAGGTACGACTTTCAAAGTCTCTTATGTTTCATGAATTTTCTGTATGTTCTAATAAAAGCAGTATGCTCATTTGAAAAATGAGCATTTAATTGTTTGTTTATTTGAAAAATGAGCATTAAATTGTTTGATCATTTGAAAATTGAGCATTAAATTGTTCAAATGAGCAAGCAAATAATTGAATTGTTTGCTCATTTTAAAAATGAGCATTAAATTATTTGCTCATTTGACAAACTGTTTTGTTCTTTAAATAGGTGAATATTGATCCTGTTACAACTTTTCGAATGATGAAGGAAATTGTTGGAGGATATGATAACATCGGTGCATCTAAGCAAGATTTCAAAAAATTTCATAGAGATTTGAAAGCATACATTCAAGGAAGTGATGCTCAAATGTTCGTGGATAACTTTACCAACAAAAAGCTAATGTGGAGCGCTTTTTTCTTTAATTTTGAGATGGATGAAGATTATTGCCTTTGTAGAGCATTATGGGCTGACCCCTTTTGTAAAAAGAGTTACGCTCTATTTGGTGATATGGTATCCTTTGATACCACATACCAAACCAATAGGTAATTCATAAAAATCACAATTCACTTTTATGTTATAACTATAGCTTAAATTAATAACTTTGTTTTAAATGAACTTAGTATAACTATTTGCTTATTTCACAAATGAGCATTGACTTATTTGCTCATTTCAGAAATGAGCATTCAATTATTTGCTCATTTGACAAAAAAGCAAATAATTGTTTGCTTATTTCACAAATTAGCATTGAGTTATAAGCTCATTTGACAAATGAGCAATCAATTATTTGCTCATTTGTCAAATGAGCATTGAATTATTTCAGTAGCTAATGACAATTCTGATTTCATAATCTGATTTCAGATTCTATTACAGATTATGAGTGCGTGTATGTATGTGTATGTGTGTGTGTGCGTGTGTGTGTCTGTATCTAAGTACGTGTGTCTGTGTATTTATGTGTGTGTAGTTATTTGATCATTTAAAATTTAATCTGTATGTGTAAACAGGTACAACATGGTGTTTACTCCATTTACAGGGGTTGACCATCATAAGAGCTGCATTACTTTTGCTGCTGGTTTCATAGCAAAGGAAGATATAGTGTCATTTGAGTGGTTGTTCAGATCATTTCTCAAGGCAATGGGTGGAAATGAACCGAATTGTATGATTACAAATCAAGATCCAGCAATGAAAATTGTTGTTAAAAGTGTGTTTAACAAGACGGAACATTGCTTCTGTATGTGGCACATAATGAAAAAGTTACCAGATAAGGTGGAGAAATCAATCATGCAAGAAGAAACTGGTTTCCTAAAAAAATTATGTGCTTGTGTTTGGCATCTTGAAATTGAACCTGCTGAGTTTGAAGAAAGGTGGAACAAGGTGATGGTTGAATACCACTTGGAAGAACATGAGAGGTTAGGTTATATGTACAAGATATGGAACAAGTGGATTTCGGCGTATTTCAGAGATGTGTTCCTTGGAGGAATAGAGCAACATTAATCATTGAGAAATTAAGAAGATTGTAGTAAGAATTCATGGTAAGGAAAGAATGTCAGGACTAAAGTTACTACCAGAGTATACGACAAAGTATATAGCTCGTCAGAGACCCAGAGTTATCCAGCACCCAGCACTAATGACTAACTAAGCACAAAAAACACAAAAGAAGAGAACGCAAACTTATCAGGTGGTCAATTCCATAATAGCACAAACAATATCACCATCAACAACCTTGAGTACCTTGACTACCTTGCCCCTTGGGACCCCAACCTTGAGTCAATATACACTCAGACACACAGTTGACCAAAATACGTTGCATTGTAAAATTCAGACCTGATTGATCAACTATTCTCTAATAATTAACCTTGGTTAGTGAAATAATAGAAACTAATGGCCCTTTAACTACTAGTTAGCTACTAACGTTATGTTTAAGACAATTCTTAAAGTATATAGTTACTTTTGGGATTTTTTAAAACTTTAATGCTAGCGATGGGAAAAGTGTAAAATACAACGCTATCAATGGGAATTTCCCAAATTTTTATTAGAAGTTCATAACACATCAGTTGTTTCTATTTGCTAGGGACATTGATCAATTTCTTAAATCGGCTACTTTTTTAACAAAGGAAGTCAGAATTTATATTGTTATCAAAATTAATTGCTCATTTGACAAATGAGCAAAAATTAATTGCTCATTTGATAAATGAGCAAACGCAAGACAATACACTACAAAGTGCAAACAAACAACCATGGCATGATTATGCCTTGAAGATAACTATAATAGGTAAATTTCTTAAATTAGTTCTGTATTTCAAATATTTTATCAAAGGATTTTATGTTATTTAGTATCCAATAAGAGACTTAAATTAGTTCAGTATTTATTTTTTGCTCATTTGACAAATAAGCAAGAATATTTGACAAATGAGCATTGAATAGTTTGCTCATTTGACAAATGAGCAAAGAACTAATAATAGTTTTTGCAAATACAAAACAACATCTACATTCAAATATAAAAAAATTATATGAAATGAGCAAAGTGAACATGAACAAAATAAAATGAACGAGTTGAACTTACAATTGCATTAAGACCGAAAAAGAAACGTCCAGTAGAATTGATATCTCTATATTGCTCATTAAAATTCAGAACAGTAGACCATGCATTAATGATATCACCATGAATTTTGCTCTGAGTTTTTAGCATTTCAAGTTGAAATAGCATTACTTCAGTATCAAGCTCACCCTCGCATAAAAACCCTGCATCACTACATATAAGATTTAGGGAAGTTAAAATAATTTCAATCGTAGATATGTAAAGTGAGAATATAGAGCTAGACTTGTTATAAGAAAGAAAAATAAAGTCAGTTGCCAAAATTTCCAGAACCGAAAAAATTGAATAAATACTTACAAACGATTTTTCTTCTCATGAAAAAATGAATCCATAACACCTTTCTGAACTGCTGTTAATGGTGTATATATGTTGATAACCTGAGACTTAAAAGGAGATCTTATCTGCAACGATGGTTGCACTTTACGCTTCTTTGGAATACAACTCTCATTTTCAGCATCTCCTTTTCTCTTAAGCGCAATTGGATCTTCTTGAGCATTCACAGCATCAACATCATCGGCAACAGCAGCAACAACTGATTTAGAAGCACCAACTTGTGCACTGACAGGAGCAACTACACGTTCATCAGTAGGTGCAATGCCAGGTGTTTGGGGGTTTTCTATGTGTCCTTCGGGAGAGTTACAATTTCCTAGCAAACTTCCTTCTTACGCCTGTACCTGCACCTAGCAGACCTCCTTCTTACGCCTGTACCTGCACAAGTAACGGAGACTCCGGATGGGGGGTGGGAGTTCCGCCTCCGAAGATTAAGTTAGTATCTTTTCTAAGTGGAATAAGAACAGTAAAAGCTTCTCGGTTCGAGAGCGTTTCAGTAGGTTTGGGCTTTGTTTGGTTTTTTTTTTTTTTGTGGTTGCAATTAATGTATCCTCATAAATGAGGTCTACCCTTACTATTTATAGAAAGGGAGAACTGTACCTCAATTAGGGTATAGGGGACACGTGTCTGCAAAGGGATTGGGCCTTTGCAGACCGTTTGAAGATTGACACGTGTCAAGCCTTTATTGGGCCACGTGTCTTAGGGTATTTTCACCCTAAACATCTGCCCCTCACAGGTGAGATGTGGCAAGCTCACGTGTCATCTGTGACAGACGTAGGGTGCATGGGGTAAGTGACGGTTCGTCTGCTTCCCCCCTCTTCTTTTTTTTTTTTTTTTTTTTTTTTTTTGAATTTCAAATTTTCGTGCAGAAGGTGACTGTTCGCCTTCTGCCTCTTTCTATAAGTAGGGTGGCTACCTCTTTCCTCCGCACTTTTTATTTTCAAAAATTTCCTGAGAAGCTCTGATACCGGCTGCTTCTTTCATGACTTTCGAGCATCCGGTTTTCGCAAGTACTTGACATCTGCCTTCCGGCTGAGTACGGATTTAGCAAGGTACCGTCTGCATTCTCCCTCTTTTTGCCCCTAGATTAAGGACCTCACTCGGCATTTTGCCGCCTGGGTATATTTTGTCCAAAAATTTCTGAATTACCCCTACCTCATCCGGGATTTCCCGTGTGGTTTTTGAAATATTTCCCTAGTTGTAATATGCCCTCATCCGTCATTTTGCCGCATGGGGCTGGCTTGGGGCAAGTCCAAAAATCCCCCTCATCCGGCGTTTTGCCGTCTGGGATGTTTAATATACACCCATCCGGCATTGTGCCGCATGGGACCCCTTTGAGCCAACTTTGTTTTTATTCAGACTAGTCACAAGTAACCCCATCTGGCCTTTAGCCGTATGGGGGTGGTTTGATCAACCTTTGCTTTCAAACATCTTTCAAATTGCCCCCATCCGGCATTTAACCGTATGGGGGTAGTTTGAGCAGCCTTGGCTTTTTCTCAAACATCATTCAAATTGCCCCCATCCGGCATTTAACCGTATGGGGGTAGTTTGAGCAGCCTTGGCTTTTTCTCAAACATCATTCAAATTGCCCCCATCCGGCATTTAACCGTATGGGGGTCGTTTGAGCAGCCCTGGCTCACACTTTGTTTCAAATTGCCCCCATCCGGCTTTTAACCGTATGGGGGTCGTTTGAGCAGCCTTGGCTTTTTCTCAAACGTTGTTTAAATTGCCCCCATCCGGCGTCTAACCGTATGGGGGTTGTTTGAGCAGCCTTTAGCTTTTTCTCAAACATACAAATAGCCCCCATCCGGCTTTTACCCGTATGGGGGTCGTTTGAGATTCCTTGGCTCAAACTTTGTTTCAAATTGCCCCCATCCGGCTTTTAACCGTATGGGGGTCGTTTGAGCAGCCTCGGCTTTTTCTCAAACGTTGTTTAAATTGCCCCCATCCGGCGTCTAACCGTATGGGGGTTGTTTGAGCAGCCTTTAGCTTTTTCTCAAACATACAAATAGCCCCCATCCGGCTTTTAACCGTATGGGGGTCGTTTGAGATTCCTTGGCTCAAACTTTGTTTCAAATTGCCCCCATCCGGCTTTTAACCGTATGGGGGTCGTTTGAGCAGCCTCGGCTTTTTCTCAAACGTTGTTTAAATTGCCCCCATCCGGCGTCTAACCGTATGGGGGTTGTTTGAGCAGCCTTTAGCTTTTTCTCAAACATACAAATAGCCCCCATCCGGCTTTTAACCGTATAGGGGTCGTTTGAACAATTTCCAGCCCATCTCTGCTATCCCTCATCCGGGACTCCACCGCTTGGGGGGCTTTTAAATGAGCTTCCAATTAAACATGTCTGATCTATTTTTCTTTATCAGCTTCAAACACATTCGGAGATTTCCGCCTGTGTAGGTTTCAAGCCACCATCTCAGCAAATTCCAACCTCCAAAGGTACCGTCTGCACCCTTTTTCAATTCTTTTTGTTAATTTTCCGGTTGCATAGATAGGATATGGACCCTTCAATTATACACTCGGCACAGTTTACGACTGCTGTCAGGCGGTCACCAGGCACGGCTGAGTCTAGGACTGGGACTGCCGTCTGGGGGTATTTGGGCGAACCTTCACCTACCTCGAATCCGACCGTCTCTGTTCATGTGCAGGACAGAATGGCTCGGATAAGATGGACGGCAGTTGACCCGGATTACAAATCCGACGACGCAGCCGAAGATCCGGCTGATCCCAGAAACGAGGACCAGACGGCAGGACCGTCTGGTGAAATTCCTTTGGAAGAAACCCTGGGGACTCGTCAAGATTCCCCGAGTGGTCCGAGCACACCGGGTGACAGCATATTAGAAGACTCTGATTCTAATGCCGAAGGATCCGGCGATGAATCTGCTGGAGAAGGGTCTGGGTCCGAATCTGAAGCCCCTGCACAGGAGGCTGAGCCTATTGTTGAAGAGGCCTACAAATGGCCGGCTAAGGGAGATCCGACTGACATGACCATGTCTGCAAGAGACGTGGTCACCCTTACTGCAACCCTTCCTGCCTTTCTTTTTAAAAGGAAACCAGTTGGGAAGGACTGGGAAATAAGAGTCCCGCCTGTTAATGCAGCCGTCGTATGGACGGACGACTTGGACCATGCCGATGATTTTTTCGGCTGTTATGAGGCGGCATTCAAAGCAGGCCTCCGGTTCCCCCTTCACCCCTGCATCAAGGACATATTGTTGGGGTATGACTTGGGCGTATGGCAATTGACTCCTAACTCTTGGGTCAATATTTTGGGGTACATTGCCGCATGTGAGCTGCAGGAGGTGAACCCCAGTTGGGAGGCTTTTGCACACATGCATTACCTCAGCCGGGCTCCGGGTGGGTGGAATGCCTGGTACACCCTTACCACCAACCAAGAATACATGATGACTTTGGAGAAGCCATCAAAGTGGACCAACTGGAAGAGCAAATTTTATGTCGTCTCTTCTCCTTCCACTTCCCTAAATCACCGGCTGCGGCGGTATAATAAGCACCCGGCATTGCTGGGCAAAAAATGCGCGCTCCCGAAAGTGCCGTCTGAGGCCTGGGACCAAATAATGGAGACGGGTCTCTTCCTCAAAACGACCCATCTGATGGAGGACGGTAGTGAAATCATCATCCCAAAGTTCTGGGTACCCCTCCCGGAATGGTTCAGGGACGAGTCCTTCTTGTCCCTTTGCAATCTAAGTTCAATGTTTAAAAAGAGTAGGTTCATTAACCCATCCGGTATTCTGACGCCTGATTATGCGTACACGCTCTAACTCGAATTTCCCTTTTTTGCAGGTAAAGCTAAAAGAATGGTGCCTCCTGAAAAGACACCTGCCTTCTCAGCTATTGAGCTGAGAAAGAAGCAAATCGAAGAGAAGAAGGCGGCACTGGCCGCCAAGAATGGAGTAAAACCTCTTCCATTTCTTACCGGATGACATATGATCTGCCTTTGTTTCTAACTGATTGCTTTGTTTTGACTATTTTCAGGGTGGAACCCAAGGCATGCCAAAATCACTAGCAAGCATGCACAAAAGACCGGCTGGTGTGATACCCCAGCCGGCTTCAAAAGCTCCAAGGCTGCCGGGTCCACCTTTGGCAGCTAGTCCTGCAAAGAGGACGTCTGACCCTGCCAGGCCAACCACTGCAGGGAAGAGCCTGCAGCTAACGCCGAGTGCTTCGGCGGGCCAGACCCGGATGGGATCTTGCTCAGATGCGGCTGGGGGGGGATGGCACCCCACAGCCTGAACAAGGTAAAACCTCTGCCTTTGACCCCCCCTGGCCGCTTGGGCATATGAGAGTCAAAACTCAAGCAAGCCAGTCTGGGGGCTCCTCTGGCAGCCGCATGAATATAGGCGGCGCCTATGCCCAGTATCTGACAGATAACCCTTCCTTTGCAGATGACTCTACCAGCCGACCTGACTACAACCAATACGCTAAGAGAATGGTCAAGACTCTGACCCGTTCTGAAAAGGAGGCGGTGCCGGCTGTACACCAGGTTAACCTGGATCGCATCAACTCTCTTCTTGCTGAGGTAAATAACCCGAATGCCCTATGCTTGTCTCAAGCTCTGCTTTTGCCGGATGAGTAGTAATTATCATCATTAGTTCTAACTCCTTTTCCGGTTGGTACCATAGGTGATGCTGAGAGTGGACGGGCTCCGAGTCCCCTTGTGTAAAAAGCAAGAGGAGGTAAGAGACGCTCAGAAGCGTGCCCTTGACCTAATTGACGTTAGTCAATTTCACAGTATTAAATATGATTTGGCAACTAAAGAGAGAGAGTTGCAACAGGAGGAATTACTGAAAGAGGCTGTGCTGGCTGGGGATGAGGCCAAGAAGAAAGTTGATGAACTTGAGCTCAAGGTCAAGGACCTCCAGGCTGATCTCAGAGCTCTGGAAGGAGCTGACAAGGAAAATGCCAACCTCCGCCAGAAGAACAGCGAGCTGACTGTTCAACTCACTAATATTCAGGCGGCCCACAAAAAGGAGCTGAACGAGGAACTCAGCCGCCTGATTACAGAGAATGAAGCCGACTGCGAGGAGCGCATGAAGCTGGCTTGGGACCTCATCCATCCGGACTCTGACTTTGACTATTTCAACCTCCGTTACTTGTATGCTTCTGAAGTTTATGAAGCTCGAGTACTCGGCACTCCTGCCCCTCCTCCTTTCGACGAGTGGGCTGAGAAGGGGTTAGGGTCAGAGCCGGATGGGGTGCCAATGGGAAACCAGCCGAAGCAGCTG